ACTGCCGGCAAACATGTCCCGGAAGGGGACAGCCACCTGTTGGGAGAGCACGTCATGCAAAACGCTCTTCCGGTCCCCGGGGAGGAGAAAAAAAAACAACACACGGATGCCCCGAAAAAGGTCCGCCACGGTTCCAGGGAGCAAGATGATCCGTGCCATGGCCGAGAAGTGCAGCGGCTGCTCCAGGGTGTCGTGAGCTAATTAGACCAGTGGCCGCCCAATTAGATCAGTCTACCCTAGCACAAGGCTCTCGTTAACTCTCAGTGCTAGATCAGGGCTTGTCGACCTTCTTTTTGGGGGAGCCTTCCGTCTTTGAGAGACCGAAAGGGGGAACAACTCTGGTGCCAAACAAATGGCCTCTTCGGGGACCGTCTTAATCACAATATGCTAAGTGTTCATTGCGCCTTCTCCTGGATTGTTACTGCTTAGCCTCCGGGGCCGCTCACATGCGGAGAACGCCTGAATAATAGGGCGTAGAACGCCCTTCGAGAGACAAGGCACCAAGATGTTGGTCAAAGCATTCAGCCGTTCGTCGCTCAGGAACTGCTTGTACTCTCTACTCGCCAGGTTCCTCAGGCTGGCAGTGACCTGGATGAGCAGTGGCACCTCTTTGGGATTTCCAGTCAACACATTCACGTCCAGGAGCCTGAAGAGAGCACTTACCTTAACTGGTTTGAGGCTCGGTTGCCATCAAATTGCCATCAACATGAGTTGAGATGTTATACCCACTTTGAACCACCAAACCACCATCCGAAATCTTCCACTAAATGTCCACTAATTATGCTGGTTTCATGTTGCCTGTGCCAAGCCTTTGAAGCCAGCCGCATGGTGGATTCAAAGGCTTCGCATCAAACTTCGAGCCCAAGGTGATCCCCTTCGAGCCCGGCCGAACCGAACCAAGTGGATCCAAACCGCTGAACAGCTGCGTCGTGAGACCAACGACAAACGAATGTTACCCTCTGGATCACCCCTCACCGAGAAGGAGAAAAAAAGCGACCCCAACTTACTGGACAAAGATAAGGGACATAAACCCCAACAACCCCAACCAGATAAGATAAGAAAATAAACCCAAAACTGACTGGACAAAGGGTGCTCTGCTGCTCCACGCTGGGCTAAAAACTTTTGAGTCGCCGAGTCGTTGGACACGTTCTTCAAAGTCCCAACCTCACGGTTCGCAGGCACAGCTTAGAAAAGACGGTTTGCAGAATTTTAAGCACCCATCTTTTGCCCTATCAAGTTCAAGGCAGCACGAAACTCAAACTGCAACCTGGGAGCAATGTAGACCATGAGATCTGTTGATGAACAGCTGTCCGATCGAGACTCTAGCACCTCATCAGCTCTGATGCTGCAGTAGGCTTAGAGAATGAGGGGGGAAGATTAAGGAAACTTGTCGCAAAAGAACAAACAATTTTCTTGAGAGCTCATCTGTGCAAGCCATCAGGTGCAGCACCTCGATGAGGGGCTCAACGAGCTTCTCCGATAGGAACTCGGCATCATGTCCTTCCTGCGCTGGTAAAGCTGCTAATGAACATGTGCAAGAAACCAATCAAGCCGCAAGCCCATGTAGCTTGGGTGCAACTTCGATTTCACAGGGTTCTACTGATTCAATCTGATTTGAGTCGGACGTGCTCTGAGTGTCCTTCTGCGAGTACTTGAACAATACTTGAGCGATGTTGTGATACCTGTTGTCACACGTTCACCGCTGCTAGGCCGCACTTCCACAATCATCATGCCGTATCATGCCGTGTCATACCAAACTTGCGCTTCGCTTGGCCCCATCCATTGCAAACAAGAAAACCCAAGCTCCAGGGCCGGGACCCCAAAAGCAAAGTAAAGAAAGAACCCAAAGGTGCTGTGTGCCAATCAAGCCCCCATAGCGGAGTCCGTAGCGGAGCCCGTGAACTACCACATCCCTTACATCCCCTTACTCGGGTTTCCTTTTATAGTGGTTCAACCTGCATGTCTTTGGGGTCTTGAAATGGAAGTTCAAGTACCAAGCCACGCAGCTTGCACACCAGAGACTGGCACACCTTTCGTAGCAGCCTCCATGGGCAAGAAGGTCAGCGCGCAACGTGCCAGCTTGAAGAGGTATTTCGACTCCTGCAACGGTGCTCAGTGTCCTATAATTATGAGGATTGTGGTTCATATCGGATAGAGAATCCAATTCATTGTAAGAAGAACTACAGCGCACCATGAAGCACCCTCTCCTGTCTCACTTCAATAGCCCCTGTCTCTCAAGTCTTAGATCTAAGATGTGTTGGGTCCTCGACGGCGGTCTTTTCGATGTGTTTTCCTTCAGAACTCCTGCCACTCCTTGAGCTCCTTGAGGTCCATGAGGCCCATAATCTCTCGCAGCAGCTCCGGCGCCCGCGACGTGTCCGCGCCCGCCTGCGACATGGAACACTCGAACCCGTAGCTGGACAGTAGGTATGAGGATTACTATGGTTGTTTGTCCAGACAATCCCTCGCTATTTTGAGCAGTTCAGGCGTTTGATGCGTCACAAAACAGGGACCACTTGAATCAACAGCAAAACACACCCAACCCCCCTCAACAAACCCCAGAACAGTTCCCCCGTTGCGGCAAGGTGTGGCGCCACGCCACGCCCTCGGTCCTTCATCTCCTTGGCCAGCGCCAAGATCCGCTCGGACAAGGCTTGGAAGTCTTCGAAGGAGGGCCTCGTGTCTTTGGAGGCCTTCAGGGACTTCAACTGGCCCAGGGCGATCTTGCAGGGATTGGCCTAAGCGGATCTGGACGGACCGATTTTTGGAAGTGAGGTTTGGACAGTAAAACAAGGACACAAATGCCAAGGCTGCCAAGTTTTCTTGTGTATCTGTATATCTGTCTGTCTATCTATCTATCTATTTGTCTATCTATCTATCTATCTATCTATCCTATTCTATCCTAATCCTATCCTAATCCTATCCTATCCTATCCTATCTCTCTCTCTCTCTCGACACCGTCTGGCTACAAAGCTGAGGAAGGGTGATACAGCTGCTGGACCCGCATTTGTGCAGGGTGCAGCACAGAGGAAAAAAGAACCGAGGTCCTTCTGTTGTAGAGTGAGTTGGGCTTAAGGTCAAAGATACTAGGTGCTTCATTTTGAATGACCGTCGTTTCTAAGCTACACAGGCCGGCCAGTGTCGATGAAGAACATCCTAAACAGTGTGTCCCCTACAGCCTCACGCCTCACGCAATGCCACCAACTGCCACAAATCCCACTTCCGCTGAATCAACGAAAGTACAGAGCTCGTAGCTTTACATGTTTGACTGTGAAATTCTTGCGTGCACATCGAATGGAACACAGTGACTCGCCCCTCGACTCGCCCCAAGCGGGTCGGCCGTGCCGCCGGCTCCAGCGCCGCCAGCCGTGCCGCTGGGGACAGGGAGCGCTGCCGGTGGGGCGAGCCGTCCAAGCTGGCCAGGCGCAGGCGAGGCGACGACGAGGAGAGGCGCTTGGCCGGAGACTTCTCGGGCGCTTCCGGATAACCTGTGGCGATGAGGGAGCTTTTGGTATGTGGTGGAAGTTCGGAATGGAGCAAGGTGGCAAGGCAGTCTTGTCGCAAGGCAGTCTGGCTTGATGTGCATGGTCTAAGGTCTTGGGAAGGAGGCAACCTTCCACATCGTGCCCAACTCATAAAACGACAATCGCATCACCATATACATTATGAGGTGTGTTGGTTTTGCTGGTTTCGCGTGACACTTGATCATCCCTCACAATTCCGCCTGATCTCAGTGAGCCACTGGAATAGCCAGGTGGTCGGGGAGGCTTTGGGGCGCTGCTCGGCGCGCTGCGCTCCGGAGCGCTGCCGGGGGCGCTGCGGGCGTTCGGTGGCGAGGGCGTCGCCACGACGGGCGTGAGCTCTTCGCTCCCACTGCTGTTCGCCGCTTCCTGTGAGCGAAACGGCACGTTGTCAAGAGCTGGAGTGGTCCAAATATTTATTGTTTATGATGATGAACCACATTCAACGACCATGATCCGAAAAGAAAATAACCATAATGGTAGAAGGATAAAATAAACAATACTCAAGACCAAAACGAAAATAAGAGCGAGAGAGAGAGAGAGAGAACTTGCTTCTGGGATGAGACTTGGAAGGGCTACACTCGGCGCCAAGCGCGCGCCTCGTCGAGCCGCAGGACCTCGGCGCCTTCCTCGGTGATGGTGTCGGGCCTGGATCGAGCTCCCGAGCGGCTGGATCGAGCTGAATCTGGGCGAGTGCCAAAGGTATCGCGCACAAAGGCCACTTGATCCACTCCATAGCTGGATGTTGGTCTGGAGTCGCTGCCTTCATTGGGACGTTGAAAGAGTGAGCGGTCCAATGGAGTGTACGGCCTGGAAGGCTCTGCCAAGGAGGCACGCGCCTCCTTCAGTGCTTGATGAACCCTGCTCCTCTGCAGGGCCTTCACGATCGGATCCTCCATCGCCTCGACCATCCGACCCCTGCGTAGTCTGGAGAGACCATGCCACAGCGCGCAGGGAGCGCGCTCGGAGCGCTTGAGCCTTTCCCATTAGTCCACCGAATGAAACATCTTCAAAGGAAAACAAGAACGGAATGGGAATGGTCTGAATGCAACGCCTTTGGGGCTCAACAGGCCCTACATGGCACCATACAGGACCATGGCCAACGGAATATGCAACACTGTTGCCCCAGAATTGCACCTGCTCAGCATGCTCCCCCAAGCGTTGTGAGGTGACAAGTCTGACTGCTGCCATCCCCCAAGTTTCACAGCTTTTTCCCGAAGACACTGGCGCCTTCATCCTTTGATGACGCACGATCTCCGCAGGAGGAAAGTCCACCTTGCTACCATCCGCCTTGCTACCATGCCGGCATCATGTTGAGAGGCCACCGACATAGAGGTGTGTATTAAATTTGGGAGACCTCCCAGTTCGATCGCCTGGAAGGAAAATAGATTCGTCTACCGTCTACCCAACCAGGGCCAGGAGGGTTTCCCAAAACAATGTACACCCAGATGATACGCTCGCTTGTCTTGGCTTCCCGACTTCTGAAATGTGTCGTGATGGTGGCCAGGACGCCATCCTCGAATCGCCCAACTCGCGCCGCGTCTCGTCCGGTGGCAGCACTTGCGCCACATCAGCGGCAAACACTCGAGCATCGAAAGCCCACTCCCAGAATTGGTGGAAGGGAAAAGTCTACGGGAAACCCAGCCCATACTGATAGTTCTGGAGTGAAAACCATTGGTTTCCGGCAGATTTCCTTGAACGCCGTTGGCCAAGCTTCGAAGCGCAGCTGTGCGAAGCTGCTCTCCACTGGGCGGTCGATGTCGGCGCCTCAAAAACGCGCGGTCATCGGGTTCCGGCCAGCCAAGCCATCGCTCAACAAGTGTTCGCGCTTTTTGGAGGGGGGGCCTATCATGTCCTATCGCTTTTTTCATGTGTTTTTTCTTAGGTTTCAGCATACTTTGCCGTTTTATAAGGTGGTCATCGCTGGTTTTGGCAGGTGTTCATACGCTCGGAAACTTGAAGAAAAGGAGATGGCTCAATGAATGAATGAGAATACAAGTGATGAAATGCTGTTTCTGGGGGTTCTGCGTACATGCCCCGGTCCCTTGTAGCGCCCCTGTCGTAGCTCGTGGGGCCACACTCGACTTGGCATCCGCGCAAGCGATTCTCCAGCCAGCTGGCGCACGCTCAGCCTTGGCCATGGGCCTAATAGCCAAAACAGAACAATTCAAAAGGAGCATGATGAAAAGGGAACCTAGTAGCGATGGCCTCCAACCCTTGAGTGCTTTACTTGAAGAATTGGCCAATTGCCGTTGAGAGACGACAACCACGCAGGGACCCTGGTCGAAAGGGCACTGACTCCTTGTGAGCAGCGTCTGGCACTTCTGTGTCGCGTCTGGCAATTTGTCTGAGTGGCCCAGCCAGGGCTTCATCCCACTTCCGCTTCTTCTCTCTCAATCGCTCTGGTACCTGAGTTCGATGGGACACGGACTGTGTTTGCAGGGTCCAACCCTTGTGGAAATGTCAAGTCCTGGCCACGAATCGTTTGTTGGGCTTCGCCACAAATCCTGATTGAACATACAAAAAGGAAGATATAATAAAATGCACCTGATATCTGTTTGTGTTGTTAATATATATATATATATCAAGAGCCGGACATGGAAGCATAACTATTTGCATAACCCTCGTCGTTGGCGATTGGAACCGAAACTCGGCCTGCAGGAATTGGTCGGCAACTTTGTCCTTTGGAACCAGCCAGTCCTGAGGATGTCTGTGAGGATGTGAGATGATGTGAGGATGCGTTGGCATAGCGTCGGTCCGTGCTGGTTTGAACATGGTCTCTCAGCCATCTATGAATTCTCAACTTGAGTCAACTTGAATGATCCATCTGCTTGATCCGTCTGCATGGTGTTTCCAGAAAAGGAAGGCGCCGAGCCTGTAACTTGGGGCATGGCCGATGCTTGAGCCTTGAAGCCAAGTTTGTGGCGCTGAATTAAGCCGGCTGCATGACATCTCGAAACATATGAATCATATCCTATTTAACTCAATAGGCATGGACTCATGATCCGAGTTGTCCTGCACCGCCTCACCGTTGCGAGAGGGCCGTCGCCCGGAACGGCATCCGGGTGGCCCCCACGGGGTGCAAAAGGATCGTCCACGCCTGGGGCCGCGGTTCGCGCGCGCCCGGTTGGACTGAAGCCGGTCCGCTGGAAGGCTCGGTCCTTGGGAAGGCCCAGTTGAGAATCTAAAAGGCTAACCTATTACAAGCTTTCTTCGAGCTGGCTGAGTCACCCGGACACTTCGAGGGACTTGTGCACCCCTACGATGTAGACACGCGCCCGGTTCTGAGGAAGTGAATAGTCCTTGCGTACGAAAAAGGAACAAAAAAAGGCGTGGGAAGCACTAGTCGCTGGTCGACTGCAGGCTCCACTCAACAGAGATCGGTATTAATATCACACAGACAGTCCTGGGTGTTCATGTCATAGATCCTGCAGCAATGGTGGCTCCCTTCAAGTGATCAGTTCCCTACAATCTCAAGCTCTGCTTGCTAGCAAAAAGGGCAAACGTTCATCTATGGCTGAGGTTGAGAGTGAGCTGGCATGCTTTATTGCCGGAGGCGTACAGAGCCGTCCATGCATCTGCAGAGCTCATTGCTGAGCAGTCCTGATCTTGAAGGCTGGCACGGATGTCCGCAAACGCCTTCACGAAAAAATTGCGAACTAAGCCGAAGCCCGTCAATCAAGCCACATGAACGGACATTCACTAGGTGAGGAAGCCCGCTCTTGGCATTCTCTGAGAATGAAAATCGGTGACGATCAACCCTTCTGCCCATCTGTTGAGGCAACTAGGCCAACTAGCTTAGTCGCCACTTCGCTGGGACATGCTGGCCGCTGGCCTGAGCACCTCATCAATACCTCGACGGCCATGATGATCTTCGAATTTGATGCCCTCCACGTTCTCGAGCACAAAACACCTACACAAGTCAACGGAGCTCCAGTCAGAAAAAATCCGATCTCTGAGGGGCCTTGACCATCCTGGACCCCAACAGGAGAAGCCCTTCAACTCCCAGTTGGGATGAGGTTGGGATGAGAAGCCCTTCCACTCCTGGTGAGGTTGGTCCACGAGCCCCGGACCGGGCCGACCTCAGTGCATCGTCGCCGGGGCGGCGCACCAGCTCAGCGATGAGGTCGATGACCCGCCTGGTCCAAGCTGGATGAGCGATATCATTTTGGGTCTATCAGAACCTATGAAAAAACGCACGAAGCAGAACGTAACTAACCCCAACCCAAGAACTAGGTCAACCCAAATGAAATCCAATTAACGAGCAAGCAGTTCAAGGACGGCTTGCTGGTGTCAGTGTCTGGGAGACATTGAGGCCGTGACCAAAAGACTTCTGCTCTGGGATCTTTCTCCCCTTTACGATGACCGGCCCAGGACCATGGTGGGCAAGGTGGCCCTGCCACTGGTTTCACAGTTCATCAAAAGCGACTCAAAGAAGAGTTCAAGTGGCAGAATTCGTCCAAATTCTTCACATTCACAATGACTAGCAGAATGTGCCCAAATTCTTCACATGTGCTTTGTCCTTTAGGCCAGCCTGCAATCAGCACATTCACTGCCGGCAGCACGGTGAGATCCAGCCGCAACAAGTCGCCCTGGGATGGACAGCGTCGGCACGCGGGGACCCAAACATGAACAGAACAGACCAAGTCAACGAGAGTCTCACTAGAGAGGTCAACCTACCAGGGATTTTCGGGGGTTTGGACCTTCTGAAGTGTGTTCCTTACCTTCCCTTAAATCTTGATACTCAAGCCTGTGTTGTAGGTTGAAGTGAAGCATGGGAGATGTCTTCGTCACTCCTCTCTTGCCTGTTTCCGGTGTTCATTGCATGAACGGACTCTCTGCCAAGAAGAGCCCGTCCCAGTTGCCCAACTAACAGTCCACCAAGCAAATGTCATGTCATGTCATGTCATTATCAATATAATGGGTGTACAGTACATGACATGTGCGTTTTCACATGACATCGCCAACCCCAAGTTGTTTAATCTTCACATGAAGATTCATGTCCGTCCCTCTTGCTTGTTTCCTGATGTTTCTGCCTTTCGGTCCCCTCCATTGTCTCTTCCTTCCCCTCCCTTTTCTTTCGTACAAAAGGTCACCTTCAAAAAGAGCTTGTGAATGTGCAAACGCGGCCTGCTACGACCCTGAGAAACAATCCAGATAGGACTCAACGATAATCCCTTGCATCTCTTGCAAAGAATGCCGCCTCAAAGTTTGATTTCTGACAACACTGGAATGCAGCCGCTGGTGCGCCCATGGCACCTTGTCCTGACCAAGCCAAGCTGTTTTGGCCTCGGCAGGAAGTCCGCAGCTCCATGTGAAGTCTGCTGATTTGGCTGCCGGCGATGTGCATCACCATCTGTAGTTGATAGTGCAGCCAGAACTTTAATATCAAATGGCCACAGCAATTTGCTACACATTCTGCTGCTGGAACACTTGATATGACCATACCATGCTGCTGGTGTTGCTTCATGGCCTGCCTCTCAGACCTTTCAGCTGCCTGCTCCCACCCTGTCTGGGCACTCTTGCATGCTGCAGGTTCCGAGAGAACTTCGTAGCCTGCAGGTTCGGTGGCACTACTGGTGGCACTCAAGGTCCGGGATTCAGTCTCTCAAAGCCGAGACCGACCAACCACGTGCCCGGAGAGACACTCCCCGCCAGTCTCTCCTATGACGGAGAGACTGGTGTGGACCAACACCATGCCCTGCCGAGAAACATGGGGCGCGACGTCCACCACGAAGGTCTGTTCAAAGTTCTGAATGCCCAGTTGCCGCAGTGCAAAGTAGGGTGCCTGGACAGGCTGCAGATCTGCACATGTCATTCTTGCAAGGGGATTCACAGGTTCAACCTGGTTCAACCTGGTTCAACCTCCTCGAATGTCCTCGGCCGGCGCCTTTTTTTCACCGTTCCGCACCTGCCTGGGCCTCCGCCCCCGCGCCTCAAAGCCTGCACACGGCGTACCAATTCGCAAGGGTCTGGACCTGGCAAGCTTTTCAGTTGGCAAATGCATCCGACCTGTGGTTCTTGAGGCTTCCCCAAAGATCGGGAGAAGCTTTGCCTCAAGCGCTTTGCCTCAAGTGAAGCCAGCTCTTGAAAACCTGGGTCAGGCACTCCAGGCACCTTCCAAATAGCGGTCCACGTCCTCCCATCCGGCCTCCCGTTGATGGCCTCCACGGCCTCCGTCAAACCCTCTGTGGCGAGGTTGACTTCCTCAACCTTAAACTGCCAAGCCACCTAGAAGCCCTGGCCGGTCCCCTTTTCTGGTGCCTTCTCTAAAGTCTCTAAGAACCTAAACACCCACATATGTGTTAGCTAATCATCCTTCGTGATGGTCGGAAAATGCCACGTCGTTGGAAACACATGGATACTGCAACCTGTTCCAGTGTGTTTGGATCGCAGTGCCAGTGCCAAAACGGCTGTGAAACTGAGGCCCTGTCCCAATCTTGCGCTGGTGCCTCTAGTCAATCTTGGATGATTTGCCAACACAACATGCAAAAAAAGCTAGCCCTACCCATCCAAATTGGGGACTTCAAGTACTCGTGCTTCGTTCGCATGACAGTGGATCAGCCGTGGATTCTCTTCGACGTCCATCGACATGAGTCGGAAAAACCCGTCTGGTCGGCGCTGGTAATGTTCCCTCAGAGCACACGGTGCCGCTAGGGCTCCCTACAGGCAAGGCCTCCAAAGCTTCACTCCAATCTGGCCTCCCAAGGTCTCTTGAAACCTCATGTAAGTTCCCAAGGCATCCATCCACGAGCAGAAGAGTTCATCCTCCGTTTCTTCCACTGACCAGCTTGAGTTACATCTCTTCTCATCTCTTCTCATTCGAGCCGCGCCTCGAGCGCGGAGACCGGCGGCGCACGGGGCTGGCCGCGGGCGGCATCGGCGGGACGCAGCACCGCTGCGGCTGCCATGCCGTGCGGATGAGCTAAGCTGGGCGCATGGAAGAAACATACAATTCCATGTCCAGTTTGCACTGATGCCTAGGCATCTGAGTTTTTTGTTTCTTCTTGGTTGAACTTGCTGCATCAAACCATAAAGCCATCGATGGCCATCCATCCCACTGCATCCCCGCTTCTAAGGAGCCCGCTTGGCGCCCCAAGAGTGCAAACAACATCAAGTTGAATCGAATGGGTTGTCAACTGTCAGCTGCGGGCTGTCAACTTGGAGGGCTTGGCATTTGCCGTGTTTCGCTTGCTCATCTGCCTCTCCCTTTGAGTCATGAAGCTTCTTGAAGTTCACCGCACGGCGGAACCCGGCCATTTTGGGCCCGAGCTTTCACAGAAACCTCCCACCTCTTCATGTCAAAAACATTCCACAACCATGTGTCTGCAGTTTGGAGCTTCTGCCGCCGACACACCTCCGTCGAAGAATGCCAGTCTGTGACTTAAAGTTGGCAAACATGAACCTCAAAACTGCAAGTTGTTTTTGTCTGACAGGCGGTCCATCACTAGCTAACCACTTTGTGAATGAACTCTCTATCTCATGGCGAAGGCCTGGATGCAGATATATCCTGAAGACCTATGAGTCACACGTACCACCTAAACTATCCTAAAGTGATGTATGTCAGTCAATGGGGTGGAAGAATTGCGATGGAATTGGGCGTCAAACCGCGCTCGAAAACCGCCCGCAAACCCGCACCCTTTAGACCTCTTAGACCTGTCCGTGCAGCCTTTAGCAGGGCAGAAATCGTTTCTACTGCACCTCCTCTTGTCAAAAAGAGGTTGCTGAACATCCCTTCAAAGCACATCTCCCTCAGGTCAGCCTTCGGAAGCACCAACTCACTGTCCTCAAGTTACCGCAACACATCTCCAGGAGGCTCTCGTTCACTTTTGATTGACACAGGCCCTTGGCTTCACACCTCTGGCTTAGCCAAGTCAGGTGTTGGAGCCAGCTCTTCAACGTTGGGCTTTCGACGGCAATCCTCGGCCACGACCAGGTGCAGAGGAATCTGGTGGCCCAGCTATTGACACGAGCTTCAGTAGCATAAGGCGATCAACTTGAATCAACCCCTCTGAAGCCTTCATCCCTTTTTTCAACTCCTTGAGGTTCCATTTGTTCAAACTCCTTTAGGTGGGTGCGTCAAGATACAATCTTCATTTCAAATGATTGACTCTTCTGACGGTTCACCTGTCTTTAGTTCCGTACTCTGCAAGAAGTTCCGCGTAAGCTGTCAAGAGACAGCAAAACCCCATGGAAAGTCATTCCGTGACTCCTTCAGCAAGGCACAGCAGAAGGTGTATTTTCCACTTCCTTCGGCTCAATCATCACTTTCACCTCGCTACCACTCCGACACAAACGGAGCAGCCAGCGAGCCGGTTTGAAAGGATCCGGAGTCAGAGGTAGTGGAGACATCTTAACATTGAAATGGTTGAAACTCACTCACTCGCTCTCTCACTCTCTCACTCTCTCACTCTCACTCTCTGTCTCTCTCGTCTCACTCACTCTCACTCTCTCCCTCGCCCTTCAAAGTCGAAGCCAAACATGTGCGTCAAAGACACTCCACGGAGGCTCGGGTGGTTCGGGCAATTCGTCCTCTTCTGTCTCTTCAATCTCATCGACCTGTCTCAGCGCCTCAGGGTTCGACCTGTCTCTCAAAGCAACGACCCGAGGGTACAGTCGTGGAATCCTCTTCAAGCGGTTCGAATGCACCTCCAAGCCCGCCTGGGGAGACCTCTTCTAGGTGTTGAGTCAGGTCCGTCGTCTAAGCAGCGCAAGTCCACAAGCAAAGCTCTTTCCAGGATCAAGGTCAATAAAGAAAAGGTGTTTGAGTTCTGACATGCCGTGGCCTAGCAATGCACCATCCTGCCGCGTGGCCTCCGGTGGCCCAATGAGAACCCACCCACTCATTGTGACATGGCCCCCACATCTACAACCCACACTGAGAACGTTCTCTCCCCTGCACTGGTGGACTCGAACGGCTGGACTCCAAGGCACAGTGCGCTGCCGGGCCAGGAAGCCTCTGGTGTTTGCCTGGATTCGGATGGCCGCCTGGTTCGAAATGATCTGGTCATGCCTGGAGTCCGACCGTCCGCCAACAAAGCAGAACAAAAATGCACTTATACCAGGACCCTCCTGTCGGGGTGCCCTGTCTGGAAGCCTAGGATGGTAGTGTGGGGTAGTCCAGCCAGGACACCCCGACAGGAGGGTCCTGGTATAATTCTTGAACACCCTGGACCCTGGCCCTGTGCTAGGCTTTTTGCCACCGACTGCTCACATGGCGCTGAAAAAAATCGGGCACATCGCACTTGCCCGTCGGACGACTTGGGCTTGTCATGGCTTTTTCATCCAAAACGCAGTAGCAGAGTCCTCCAGACGTCTCGTGGTTTCTCGTGGTTTCTTGGGTCTCCTGGAGGTCATCTCGGCAACCATCTCTTGCAGCTCCTTCACCGTCTCAAAGCCCGGATGTGTTCTGTGCAAATATGAATCATGTTCTCCACAAAACGAGTGTGTTCTCTGTTCTTTCCATGGTTTTCCACATGTTCCCCACAGCGGTAACAAATGAACTTGCCGTACCAACTAGGCAGCGGTGTCCCAGCTGTTTTCCCAGCGTCCTGGTCTGTGCAATAAGCGTGGCTCTTTTCATTGCTCACCTCGGCTTCCCACGAGTCTAACAAACGAGATCCCCAATGCCCTTTCAACCTGAAATCATTGGATATAATGTCAATTTATAGATATATATATATACATATACATCTCTCTCTCTCTGTGTATTTTTTGTAATTCAGGTGATTCGTGCAGCACGGCAACACTGCAACCCTCGGCCGAGATCGCACTCTCTGCTTCATCCAAAGCACCAGGCGCTCAAAGTCCGGCAAGTCCGCTCCTCGTTCCTGGCAGAAGGAGCCGCTTTTTATATGATGCGGCGGAACGTTGAAGGACCAAGGCTGGCTCTAGGAGGATGAAAGGAGGGAAGATATTATATATATAGTACTGTAGGTGTGTGATATATACCTGATATATTTATTATATGATAATATATAAATGACATCTACTGAAACAAGCATCAAACCATCTCCACATCATTCCAGAGTGACATCGCTTGGCGTTGGTCGTTCTGACGGGCTCCGGGCTCTGTGCCACAAGTGCTACGGCTACGGTGCTGGCAAGCGTCCGCATCGATTTTCAGGACTTCACACATCACCTGGCCAATCGCATCCGGCATCCGGCATCCGGCACGTCATCCTCAGGTTTATCGGACAATGACATGCAGATTCGAGACCCGCACGTGCAGGGACCCGCTGCAGGGAACACTGTCCGATTCCCAAAAAAGGCCATTGCCTCCTGGTTGTAGTTGCAGGACTTACCTGGATGTGTTCCCAAAACTTTCAGGTCCTAATTCCAACATGTCCACGCAACCCTTTCGAAATGACCCGGTACCCGGCGGGGCGCGAGGTCGCTGGCCTCGTACTCGACTTGCCAGTCTCCAGAGAAGTCGCACAGCGCCGCGAAGCGCTCCATCTCCGCCAGCTTCAAGCGCCCATCGCCGTCGGCATCCAGCGCGTAGAAGAGCCGTACCACGGCCTCGCGGCGCGCTTGGCTCTCCTGTCGGGCGGCGGGGCTGGGCGCGGCGGCTCGTTCGGCGCGCTCGTGGGGCGCTCGACGGGAGGGGTTCAAACACGACGGAGGGTTCGGTGGGCAGAGAAGGCTGGAGTCGGAAACTGCAGGCACGGACAATTTTCGGAGGACGGAGAGCCCAAAACACAGCAACAAAAGGTCCTGGATGGTGCGACGCAGCTTTTCGCTTCGCTTCGTCTTCCTGCGGTGCTGGGGGGCCAACTGCTGATTTGACGATACCACACCTCACTCCATCTCCACGACACATGTTCTAGCAAATGTCCCATCTGGAATGTGGGCGCATGGCACGTGTCTTGAAAACCAGCACATGGTGGCAGCCCCAAACATGCCAAGAAACACTGACTCGGCACGACTCCGCGCGGAACAACCGCCTCATGGAGCCCCGACTGAGTCCGGAAAGTCTCTTCCCTTGCTTTTCCTGCCCAAAGAAAGACGGATGGGCACGGGTGCCCAGCTCTCCACGGGGATGGAAAGAAGCGAACCGATGGCGAACTTGGCACAACTCTGCTGCAGTTCTGAACGTCGGCACCTTCTCCGGCACTTTGGAAGCGTCCGTTCGGCTCAGCAACTGGCTCTGCGCGGCGCGTTCCATCAACGAAGGAAGCTCGGAGGTCCCACACTTGGTGGGTAGAGCCTCAAGGTTGGCAGTCGAAAGACCCTACACCAAGCATGAGGCATTGCAACATGCATGAATCATGAGGCCCTTTTTGTTCAGTGGCTGTGGGTCATGGGGGGGCCGAACGGTTGACCACTTGACCAATGAACGGACTACCAAACATGGTCCACTTAAAGGACCGAGGCGCTGCTGGAAAGAGAAAAAAACACACTGTGACTATGTCACAGGTCCATCATGCCCTTTCTCCCTGACAAAAGAAGAACGTCGCACACGTGAATTTCCCTGTGCTCAGCTGACTCACCCCCAGTTGCCCCTGATCCTGAGTTATGCACAGGGAATATAACCTCCCGCGCCTCGTTCGAAAGCAGTTCCAGAAAGTCCTGGCAATGGAAGAGCCAAAAGAATGTCCAGGGACAAAAGAGACTATCAAGAGACCTCAAGCAGCGTTATATATATAAGTAGAACAAGGCAAGGGTGAATAATTGAATTTCCGCACTCTGACTTTAGCACACACATGCGAGCACATATATGAGAGCAAGCACATGAAAGCACACATATGAGAGTATGTACATGAGAGGACACCTATGACAGCGCACACAAAGGAGCACATACATGAGAGCGCACATATGAGAGCACATACATTATGAGAAAACACACATGAGAGCGCACAGGTGAGAACACTGTTCTGAGCGAGCACGAACATGAGAGCACACGCGTGATGAGAGCACATATGTGAACAAACACATGAGCGTAAACATAAAGGAGTACAGATATGAGAGCACAGATGCGAGGAACACAGGGCACGGCACACGTATGAGAGCACAGAATTCCCTCGCGGCTGCCACGAAAAGTCACCAAAACAAAAAAAAGGTGCACAACACCACAACAAGAGCGCAGTCGAACCAGTTTGTGCAAGCCTGCGCAGCCGAGCGATGCGCTTCGAAGATCTTGAGACAGCATCGAATTTGCCGAACCCAGCGCCGCTTCTTTTCAGAAGCGCCCTCGATGAAACCCAGCCTTAACTACTACCGTAAGAACCCCTACTGTATCCAAACTCTTTGGGGGACTGGACTTGAGGGCCTCATAGGGCCTCGCCACCTCACGCACGTTGACGACCGACCGCGCTTTGCTGGCACCTGCCAGTAGAAACCGTCCGTAACATTGCAAAGCTGGCACAGCGCCTCAGAGTCAGCTAGACCGAAAAATGAGCTAGCCTTCAGTATGTGTCTGAGTCAGCAAGCAGAAGGCATCAAGAACCCATCCGAAGGGCATCTTGCTGAGAAAAGGCTCTTTGGCAAAATGTCACTGACAAGGAGCCAGCCTTGTATTCGCTGTGCCACCTCAGATATGAATACACCCTGACATCTCTCGTGCTACTTGCGCCTCGTTTTTTCAGGTTTTTTCAGTCTTCACTTCTTTTGTTGGTGGCCCTGACGGAAGGCTACTCGTTGCTCACCTCTCTCGTGGACTTACCTGCGCCTCACCGGCTACATCATTGGGGATGCACCTGAGGCGCTCACAGGTCTCTGCCTTCTTCGAATCCACAAGCGTAGGCGAAATGATACAGTTCAGAGGCCCTGGAGGATCACCGAGGCTCTACCGTGCTGCGTGCGGACCGCTGTTCACGAGAAGAACAGAACGAACGAATATTTTGAGTCAGTCTATCCGAGTCTACCAGGGGCCCAGTGGACGATGGGTTATTAAAGGCCTTGCTCAAAAATAGTATTACGTTTATTGTGTAGGTTTATTGTGCACTGACTGTTACAGATCGGACAGACTCAATGATATTGATATTGGCCCTACATGTCGCACCTCTGGAAACACCTATCTACTCCGATTCTGGGAGCTCTATATACCTCCTTGGAGGCTGGACAGGTTCTGCACAGCTGAGTCAACTGAACTCCACCCAAAAGCTCCATGGGATGCTCAGTCAAAGCTCCAGTTCTGAACATGAACAAACTAACAACCTCGCTGCATCCAAGTCAAGCTCCAAAACAAATGACCTCACGAAGTGAAGCCCCAGTCCAGCCGGACACGCCCCGTCCGTCCGTTCCTGTTGGATGTTCGGTCCGGTCGGGGGTCCTCAAGACGTTCCTCCCCGAAGGGTCCAGCAACTCGAAGAAGTCCCGCGCCAGGAGCTCTCGTCGATGGGCCTAGACACCGGGCGAGGTCTGGGCGAGTCCCGCGGCCCGCGGGAGGGCAGACCGGGATGGCAGACCGGCGGGGGAAGCAGTGTCACAGGCTGATCCCAGAAATTGATCGGAAAAAGAAACCATGTTCACCGGAGGGTGATAGGTGATAGCGCGGTGTCTGTGGTGGACAATTTGTGTCTTGGAAAGTAGTTATATATATATATATATACATATCATCCGAACTCAGGCCAGAATCAGAAGGGTCATGCTGTGTGCTGGTGAGCTGCGGACACACAAGCAGCCCACCAGCTGACCGACAACATGCGGGTGGAACAATGTTGGAGGAGGGCTTTGGAAGCGACTCACTTTGAGCATTTACATCAAAAGCGGTTACAGTAAAAGCTGTCTTACTTTGAGCAAAGAGTTCAAGACAGCCTATACAAAGATTGATCAGCCTTGAATATTCCAATCTCACCAAGTGGCCGTCTTGTAGGTCTCTTCGTCCACGCTGCTCGCAGACTCTGAGGCTTCCGAGATGGCGTCCTGTGTGGCGCCCACCACAGAGTTCACAGGATGACGGAAGGACATGATAGTTGCACTGCTGGTTCCATCAGACCACGTGCACACACTCACCCGCCCTGCCTCAGCCACAGAGCTCAGGTTCATGGCAAGAACCTGCAAAAGTAAAGTTAACTAAAGTTAGCTAGCTGCACCACTGCCACTTTCTAAGTACTGTAGTTATATACACTAGCCTTTCGTGTTCCCAGGTGTGTTTGATCATTGTCTCTCGGAGCACTCAAGAACGACATTTCTATCATTTCTACTCTTGTATATTTGATACCGCGCAGGGCATCTTGCCACTTAGTGCATCCGTGTCTTCAACCTCTCTTCGTCTCTCTGAAATGGACCAACCTGAACGCGTTTTTGCTCGCTCCGCACCGCGCCCGCACCGCGCCTGCACTCGCAAGCCCCCCGAGAGGCGCACGCGGCACTTCTCACCGTTGAGCTCTTCCAGGCGGCCCCTGGCGCGTGCCGCGGCCGACGAGTCGACGTCGGGAATTCCGCTCCGTGGATCGAATTGGATCTGGGCTTGAAGCGTCACTGTCTTTTCCCAGTCGCTTCAGGTCATACCTCCTTCCCACTGATGTTGAATTTACAGGCCAACAGCCTACAAGTACCAACATGCAGAGCGCCCTTTTCTTGAGCCAAACATAGAGGTCAATATGGTATGTACAGGTGTACAATCGTGCAAATACACCCCCCGCTGAACGCACTTGGCAGCAAAGGTAGTGAAGTAACCTATATACGTCTATGTAGACGGGACATCGTGCATACCTCTCTGACCTCCGGTTCCCCGGTGTTTCCCTTGCGGTCAACACCACACGCGCCTATGGCTTTCATAGATTCTTTGCCGACCTGAGACGCGATGGAACGAACGATTAACTCAACTAGAATCAAAATGTCAGTTGCCGAACGGACGATTGCAAATCGGACACAGCGCTTTTCACATGCATCCACAGCTCGTCAAAAGTGAAAATGGGCCTCTTACATAGGCACACGTTTCCACGCGGCATGCTGATCGATGCTTCCTTTTAGGAAGAGCGCACTTCGGCAAATTGAATTTAAGCCTAGCAAAGATAGCGGGCAGCCTCAAAGATGTTTGACGTGAGGCTTCTGCTTCCGCAGAGCGTGCTATGGCTTTTGAGAGCTTTTCGACACCATTCATGGCAAAGTGCTACGACAAACACTAGATGAACTAAGATGCACAACTACCGAATGGCACCAGCTCCCGCCGTGCATATGTGGCTCTCACCGCCCCTGGCGCCACCAGTCTGCGCCATACGTATCCTGGTACCAGGTCCAATCTGCGTGATACCAGCCTGGGATAGTGCCAACGTCGTCATCAAGGTCTCTCCAGTCTCGTGCCCACCGATTCCTGGGGTAAGGAACATTCTCACGAGCTGGTCGACCGGCGTGACGCCATGACCCCTTTCCTTTTCCCTTCGCGCGATCGACGCCTTCCCTCTCTGGCACGTTGATGTTCCTCGAGTCTGCACGTACGAGATTCTCGTAAGAGGGGATACTCTGGAGGTCGGATGAAAAGCAGCCAACGAACTCCTCTTTGAGCTTCTCGACGTCCTTCAGTCCTTCTCTTCCGAGAGGAATGAGCCAGAAAATCCCAAGACTTCGAAACGGTTGGCCTCCATCGAGTACAGTCCAACAAAGACACCTGGGCGCAGGATCGTGTTCTTCCAGAACACAAAGACCTCATTCGACACGTCGACCTCGCGCTGGGACGTGTCGGGGATCATATAAGGATCTTTGCTTTCACATTGACTCCTACCCCATCTTGGATTTGCTGGGCGGTACGCGTTGGAATAGGCAATACCGCTGAACTGAGTCGTTGGAGAAATTTCAAACAGTCGGGGGACATATCCTGAGCCGCGCAGTTGAACGCGTAGAAAGGATCCAAGCACAATCGCTCTGTGAGCGAGCCAAATTCCAATTTCGCTGCTTTGTCCGTGTGCGACTTGGCATGCGCTCGAATCGTTGCGATCGCTGATTGTCCCGTCCTGACCCTTCCACCTGTATAGGGTTCCTCAGCCCATGGTTAGTAAATTTCGTGCCACGACCAGGCGCGGATCGAAAACAAGCACACTTTGTTTTTTCTTTAAAGGCGCTGGGTGGCCTGTGTGGTCAACTGCAAAGTCTCCCAGCCAATGTTTCGTGGTATTTTGACTAGCTTGTAGCACTCTCAAGCCAGAAGCTGATTCCCTAGCCACGCCAACGAAGCTATGGGATGCAGCTGGAAGGGAGTGTGGACGCACATTCCTGTACGTGCAGCTGTGAATAGTTTTAGCCATTCTGGGGGTCTGGGCTGCCTTTGCGCCAGAAAACTGGAGGTGACCAGCGCTTTTCTGCTTGGAACATTAAGAGACAATACCAAAAAAAACAGTGGCAGTTGGCCAAAGTGAGCGCTGTTGATATGTTCAATGGTTGCTTGGTGAAATCGTGAGAATCCGGGCTGCGCTGGAACAAATGAAAACTTACACCGGCACGCGGGCTGGGTCTTCGACTGAAAACCCCAAAACCAAAACTAGGGCAAAACAACCAACTGTGCCATTGACAATGCGCAAGACATGGTTTGCAACTGGAAAAGCAAAACTGAACAAGGACACGTCAATTCCCGTTGCAATCTTCAGTTTCTGCTGAATATACACAGGAACGCCCCGCGAAGAAACGAAACACCACAAACAAACCAAATTTACAAGTAGCTGCTATGAAGCCTGGCCAAGCCACCAAAAACGCATCGAAAGTGACCATACAGCCCATTACAAGCTCCAAGCGCTAAAAGCAAGCATCTTGCGGTGTAAGTTCGCTTGTTTCATGCGCATTCTTGGTTTTATGCTAGGTTTGGCTGTGTAACTGCTGCGTGTGGGCCAACCACCAGTGGCAATGCGCAATGGCGTGCGGTGGCGTGCGGTGGCGCGCGGCGGCGTGCGGTGGCGTGCGGTGGGGGCGTGCGGTGGCGTGCGGTGGCGCGCGGTGGAGACCTATTTTTTATGCTTTTTCATCATTGTGGTATTATGGAGCGCAGAACCTAGGACACCTTAACAAAACCTGTCAAAAGACAGCTATACGTCGCCTTCACTTCGCCAATGGCCAGATTCTGTTGATTGTCATCACATATGTTGTGATTGCGCACAAATACCACTAATATCAGTGCTTATATGTGGATATGTACAAAAATTACTCCAAGTGTGCCGGCGCTGTGGAAAAAGGCGTTAAACACAAATGAACAGCTTGCATACACTTCAAGTGATGCGCCTGTGTAAGTTTTCAAGCGCGCAAGTACAACGGGCAGATTACAAACCCTTAATCGCACCAAGCTCAAACATAGCAAAAGGTCTACAACAGATCAACACTCAAAGGCGCATCTTGGAATCAGAAGAAAGACTGCGCAAAGGATATTTTTCTTTGAAGCAGAATATATCATCAATTTTTTTGACAAGTCAGGTGGCCTTTTCCATTTTCTCACAAATAAGCCCTCTATTCACACACGCGCAGCAACTTTCTTTGCCGACTTGCAGCTGTGCCATGTATAGGACGGAAGGTGAGGAAAGGTTGAAGTCGTCTGCCCAAAAGCACAATCAAGCTGGCGTAAGGGTTCAAAAGCAGTGGCTGGACTTGAAACCTATGACCTCTTGACATATCAAAATTTACCTGCGATCAAGTTGCGGCGTGAAATTGACTACCCACGGTCCCCCCGGGCACGAATGTCGTCATCTGGGAACATGTCCAACGACAAGTCGAAACCGAAGCTTGCGGCCAAGTTTTCGAGACGGACAAGAAGTGAAGCCTTTCTCATGTCTGTTGCGACGCGTGCAAGTCGTCCACAGTTCAAGCACGACAGGCATCCGAACGGCGAATCGGCATTGCAGTCAGCACAATACTGCGGATCTACATCATGCTGTCGAACAGTGAGCCACCGTGAGGTGAAGAACTTCTCATTGCCTCGAGGATCATAGCGCATCTCCATCTCGGGAGTCCAGCGCGCCCAGTCAACGGAACCCAGCGACAAAGGCCATGCCGAGTTGTTTGGGGCATCGCCTTCCGGCTGCCATGCAATCGCCATGTACGGGGTTGTGTAGGTTCCGACATTGGCATCTGCATGCTCAAGCTGACCCTTGCAAAACTCACGGTTGTACGACTCAAGGATAAATGCTCCTTCCACCCAGGCTCCATGCACCCATCTCTCATACTTACCAAACAGGTCCCATCTTGACCTGGCCAGCAACGACTGCTTCCTTGCATTGTCGTCTGCCTCTTCACCACGGTCGAGCCGTTCCCGGCGACGCAAGACGATGTCTCGGAGATCCTGATTGAATGAGGCTCTCTCCTTCGCATAGTCATGGTTCGCATAGATGAAGCATTTTGCTGACACGTCGTATGCATAGATGAGGAACTGATTTGGCACCCAATCGGTGGTCACAACGGCCTGGCTCTGAGTGACAGCGAACCTGATCCCATATGCAACTGCCATCTCAACGTCAACAGCGATAGCGACGGGCCTGGTCGAAGCCATTCCTGCCTGATTCGACTTCTGGATGCTCCACGGATCGAAGGCCGAAAAGTACGAATGTGCCTTGCTAGTCCTGAGTCCCCCCGGACAAATGCCACACCGAATCACATCATCAACAATAGTGATGTGAGTGTAGTGGTACAAGATCTTGGGGTGAACATCCTTGATGCGCAAGTCAAGCCACACTGGGAGCGTTGGGTGCTCCCTTAGCAACAGGCGTTCGATGGTGAATGTCGGATCAAGACAGATGATCCTGTCGACCTCAGGCCACGCCATGTTGACGTTCTCCAGAATCCAGTCTTTGTGAGATTGAATTGCCTTAACTCGCACCAGCAGGAAGCGGTATTTCCCGGCGAAGAGTTCCCCCTCGCGGGCAAGTTGCACATCGAGCATATAAACCTATGGTTTGAGGTCACGATGTCAATCAAGTCCGAAACCGTGAGGGACCGGGAGTACCAATTCTTGATGAAGGAAAACACCGACGCGAAATCCATCCAGGCCCCGTCTTGAAAGTCCAGAAGCGGGATGCGGTCCCGTCGATTGGCATGGTTGCGCCCACGCAGCAAGCCGGAGAGTCGCTTTGACACAAAGAACTGCTCCTGATCGTACCATCCAATCACTGCAGCGCCGGGCACCTGGTTGGCCGGCATTTTGGTGCGGATCGGAGTACCGCCTGCTGGTACCGTCGGGGGCACATCCCTTCCGGGGGCCGCGGAGCTTGGTGCTGCGGCTTTGGGCGCGGATGAAGGCTTTGGCATGGGTTTTGCTTTGGGAGGATTTGCCGATGAAGATGATGCTCCCGTTGCCTCTTCCATATCGACGTCGATGACCTCTGATGAGCTTTTCTTGGCTCTGGCTTCCGCCGAGCTGGACATGTCAACGTTGATGACGGTGTCCCCGCTGCGGAGTTTCTTGAGGCTATCAGGCGCCGCCTTTGCC